AGCATATTGTAAACTCATGTCAAAATAGAATTTATTGCATTTCCAGCTAAACTACTTCACTGATTAAACTATGACGTTTTTTTTTCATTGTTCCATGTCACAAAAGTTTAAAGTGCAAATAATTAAAAAGTCTCTTTTTCAAAATTCTTAAGGAAAGGTCATGTCTTTTATCATCTAATTTATTACATAATATTTTTTAGCAATATCTCCCTTAATGAGACATTGACTTTTGATCATCACATTAACAAATAAAACAACAACCTTCATCTACAGGGTGAGTAAAATTAATGTATTTTGTGTTTACGTGTTAAAAGTGGCTTAGTAAAGATGCTGTAATATATCCATATTGTTCTTTGTAAATTTATTTATATTTTCTTCAGTTTTGTTGCAAAGCTGAATGATCCCGTCAGTTCTCTAGACGGTCTTTAATTCAGTTCAGGTAAAACGGACCGTTTTGACTGAACAGCTAAAACGTGATGTGCATACGGGGCATTATATGAACAATAAAAGTAAGATTTTATTTAATTTCGGAGACTTGTTAATTTCTTTTAGCATACTGTATACACTAAATTAACAAATATTTGTTGATTTATATAGTAATAGGTCTCATGGAACCGTTGGAATCGGTTTTTTAGCCTTTCTTATCAAGGCTGAATTTGATAAGCAAATATGGATTATTGAGTTCAAAAGCTATAATAATACTTATTTTATCTGGAGTAAGTAATTGTACGCTGAAATCTTGCGTACGATACTCTTGTCACGTCGTGTATTATTGTGCAACAAGTTTTCACCAACCCCTGTATAAAAGAGCAATTTATAAAGGTGAAAGGTGGTATAAAAAGTTCGACAATGTAGGATCGGGTTTATTTTTGCCAGAAACTGCTGTATCTGTTTTGAAAAAATCGCGATCATGTGTCTTTAGTATTTATATATTTTTACACGCATGTGATGTACGTAACATCATACGTATATCACTCTGCCAAATAAATCTATCGGAAAAAATGTGCCTGGCCTGGCCTACACTGCTCTCATTGACTTTTTGTTTTATTTTCAAGCAGTTGAATCATATGTATATTGGCCCATCTTAATGCAGAATTGTTATTTTTATGCTTTAACATTTCGTCGGTACTGTGGATATTATTTTTGAAACGCTCAGTTACTGCCAAAAAGGATCATTCAACTCGTTTATGTCATTTAAAAACTTCGATATATCTCAGATCGAATCTTAATATCATATTGAAACTTTTTCTAAACATTGGATTATTTCAATTAAGGCCAAACAATTTCACGCTGTGTTAGAATTTGCAAAACTCGATATTGATACTTACTGCACAGTCATTAATTTTTAATTAAATATTTAATTAGTTTCACGAAGTTATTCTTAATTCTGTAGTAAATCTTTTTAAAAATAACGAGTGTCAGATATATATATTTTTTGACTTAATACTATAGGCAACTAACAATACACGGACGCTCAAAGATAAACTTATCATGCTTGGCTATATTATGAAAATTTGCCAATAGGACCACTTTAGTGTAGATCTCTAAAATCTAAAATCACATTAGCTGTCACTCAGGGCCTATTTTACCATAAGGCCCATAAGACCCGGGCCTTGGGCCCGGTGGTCTGGGGGGCCCGTTAAAGGTTGTAAAATATTCATAATTTTAGAATTTTATCAGAAAAGAGGGCCCGAATTTTTGCTTGGGCCTTAGGGCCCGACCAGATGAAAAATAGGCCCTGAGAGCATATTATTTCGTATATTTTTCATTTTATTGATTTTATGGAAAGCACTGTTCATTAAAATGTTGTATCCTATGTTATAGGGCTTGTTTCTCTCTACAATTTTCTGTCTCACAATGTACCGTTTGTGTCCAGGAAGAGTTCATAGTTTCATAGTTGTCGATTTTCGAAAGAAATCAGTACATGCATATTATTTCGTATATTTTTCATTTTATTGATTTTATGGAAAGCACAAAGCACTGTTGATTAAAATGTTGTATCCTATGTTATAGGGCTTGTTTCTCTCTACAATTTTCTGTCTCACAATGTACCGTTTGTGTCCAGGAAGAGTTCATAGTTTCATAGTTGTCGATTTTCGAAAGAAATCAGTACATGTATATTATTTCGTATATTTTTCATTTTATTGATTTTATGGAAAGCACTGTTCATTAAAATGTTATATCCTATGTTATAGGGCTTGTTTCTCTCTACAATTTTTTGTCTCACAATGTACCGTTTGTGTCCAGGAAGAGTTCATAGGTTCATAGTTGTCGATTTTCGAAAGAAATCAGTACATCCAGGGCCTATTTTACCATAAGGCCCGGGTTGTCTGGGAAGCCCGTTAAAGGTTGTAAAATATTCATAATTTTTGAATTTTATCGGAAAAGAGGGCCCGAATTTTTGCTTGGGCCTTAGGGCCCGATCAGATTAAAAATAGGCCCTGCTGTCACTCGGTAGATTTTTAAGATTTTTTTTTATTTCACTTTTTTAGAACATTTTTTCAAGTGAAACAATAATTTTTTTTTTCAAATTAAAATTGATTCGGATATGTAATTTTAAAATTATATAGGATTATTGGCCTTTCCTTGTTTTTGTTATTAAAATTCCTTATTTATAATAATTTAGTTGTAATTATTAATAGTTTACTTTCACGATATGACTTCTAAATTATTCTACGTAAGAAAACAGTTACATTTTTTATTGAAAATGAAACTTTTTCCGGTAAGGGTGTGGATCCGGTGGCTGACCTTGAAGGCCATATTTGCTGCATTTGATCATCGATACTACGCAAGCGCACATCTTCGATGTTGCCAATTTGCAGTTTATTTTCGAATTATTTGCAGTTGAAAAATTTTTTTTAGTGTTAATCAATAATAATACAAATTCTATATAATTAATTTTATAATTTCAGATTTATCTTGATATCCAAAATTAAGATAAGAAGAATAATGAAGATTGTGAAATGAAAGAATTATTAATATATCAAATTGTACTAATAATAACATTTATTTATATATATACATTAAAATTAAAAATTATCATGTACGGATTTCTTCTTAATGGTTTTAAACTTATTAGAATTATTTTATTTCTTTCAAGTTATTTAATTTCTAGTTATTTACAGGCAACAATAGTTTTGATTATATGTATTGATGTTTTGAAATACTACCATGACGAGTCTTATACATAGAACAATACACGTCATGTTACTAATATAATATACTTTGATTATAATATTTGTATCATAATTTCTTAAAAATATCAAGTTAGTGGATTAACAGCAATTTTAGACATATATTTTATCGAAGAGTGTGTTGATAAGACTAAAATAAGCTTTATGTTTTATCTTTTTCTCTTTAGAAGGGAGATGGTTTGTGTCGTAGAATACATTACAGTATTTAATATTGTGTACTTTGATATTCTTTTCTTAATTTACTGTAATTTCTTGCTATAATGCCAAATCTTGTCAATATGGTGAAGGTTGAGATATTTGATCTTATTAGTTTTACACCTGTGTTTATACAAGACCAAATTAAGATTAGTTTGTAATTAGTTTGTGATTTATATTAAGATCTTTCTTATAATATTTGTCATGTCTTAATCCTAATACTATATTATGCTTTGTCTGGAAAATAAATGTTAAAATATCTTAATTTTGCATATCCTATTCCATCCTTCCATTAGGAAAAATATGGTTTATAAATCATATTATGCTAAGAAAATCACATAAATTAGGTGTAAGAATAGAGAAATCTTAAGGTAGCAGAAAAATTAATGCAATATATGTATAAGCAGAATTAAACAAGTTAACTGTAAATGTTGCTCAAGATGATTCTACAGTTTTAATTACGGAGGCTAAAAGGCCTTTTAAGGCCTCCATAGTTTTGATGGAATGTTAAAAAAAACTATTATGAACATGACATGGAGCTACAGCATTGAAAAATAAAAAACAACTTGGACACATCCCTTTTAATATTTACCGAATTTTTAATAAAGCACTTTTTAAACGTATAGCATAATAATCTAGAGCAATTAGATTAATTATAGGAATCTAGAATTTTATTTCTATTTAATTTTATTGACTATAAAAATACATAATAAGCGTTCACGTTTCACGTGTTGTGCGAAATATTTAAAATAATAATATAAATAATTATAGTAATATAAATAAAAAATATAAATAATATACCGCGTACTATGATTGAAAAAAATAGCGTCAGCGATGACTATGAAATGAAGATCGCTGTCATTTTATATGGGAAATGTCCTCAATCGTCATTTCCCAGCCAACTGGACGCCGATTTTTCGATCATACTGTATATATTGACAAAAAAACACAGAAAAGCACATATATGTTTACTACTAAAAATAATTCCAAAATAACTTGCAATCTGGCAACATCGAAGATGTGCGCATGCGTAGTGTCTGTGACTATATGCAGCAAAAACTCGTTTCAAGGTCAGCCACCGGATCCACACCATTACCCTTTTTCCTAACATAAATGGGGAATTTAGAAGTACCATACTACCCTAAGTCTATACCATACTACCATAACTACCATAGCACTCTAACTACCATAGCACTCTAACTACCATAACCCTCCACCCTGCATAATCATGAATTCTTATCCTTAATCTAAGTTTATGACTATGGAGGGCTTTTAGCCTCCATATTCATAATACACCTTTCAATTTTTAGAGATCAACTGATATTAGGCAACTTACTATACACTATCGAGGATTTAAGGTAGTTTCCAGCTTGGGATAATGACGTCACTACAGTAGTTTCTTGCAATTTTTACGTAGATGGTGCTAGTGGTAGTGCATTAATTTTAGAAACTTTTTGAATGATTGGGTAGGGGATTGAAGCCACGTGGTATGGTTCTTCACGGTTATATCTATCTCCTTCTCTCATTAATGTCTGCATTTATTCTTTATTTTTTTCTAAGACGTGCCGGAGATGACTTAAATTTAAAATGAGTAGGACTGCCTTAAGTAGGCTTTGTTTTTAATAGCGCTCTGTTGACGTACAAAATGAAATTGTTGCTTGTTGCTGGCTTAATGTCTAGTGAAATAAGGCGATGGCTTTGAAATGCAATAGTACCATTTTTACTTAGTACTGTTTTATGTTTACGTTGAATTTACATCGGCCAGTCAAGGTTTTATAACAATTTCTTTATTAAGCGAAACCTGATTTTTTAGGCAAGGTGTTGGTGGAAAAGTAAAAGAACCCCGTGTTTTGATTTGCTTCTGAAAAATCTGGTGTAAATATTTATAATTATAATTCTATTATTTTTATCGGGGAGGTGATGATAAAATGAAGAAAAGTAAACAATAATATTTTTATATCCTTATCAAAAAGCGAGTGATCAATTAGTTATTAAAGAAACGAAGTTAGATGTTTATTGGGTAAGTGCATGTACTTTATTTGTTTGTAGATATAGAGTTATTAGCTGTATTATAAAAACAATCATATGTTAAAGATAAAACTGTGATAATAGCAGCACATAACATCAAACTTTTGACCAAGTTAAAAGGTATTTGAAGTGATATCTTGTTCGTGTTCTATTGTAGTCAGTTGAATGTTGGTATGTCCTCTTTATACACAGCTTGAATACATAATTAACGGTGCTGTAGGTACCTCAAAATTCCGCAAGGTGAATATAAATAAATATCTATTTGCGATTTGTCATTTAACACAGATATTTTATGTATTTGCTGTTTTATTTCCATAATTAAAACTATTTAATATGATAAATGTCTCTTAAAGATTATCAAGGAGTGCTGTTAAGGTAGAAATTATGTAACAAGTTATATGATTTTATTTATTTTTAATTATTCGCAGGAAAGAAATATTTATATTTTTTTAAATGTCGCGTTAAAATATTAAGGGGGATTCCAAAAAGTCCTTGTGAGGTAAATGTATATTTATTTGATCTAATTTTCAAAAATTGAGATACGTTTTATCAGAACAAATAAAAAAAATGTTACAGCACTGTATAACGAAACAAAACAAGGTTGTTAGCAAACATTGCTATCGGTTTATCTCATTCTACAGTTAATTTTTGTATATTCCTATGTTTTTAATATATGTTACAAACCTGAGTTAAATCAATTTTTGGTTAAGTGAAAGAAAAACCGTTTAAAGGTATAAAATTATAAATTATATTTTATCTAATACCTACATAATTTGCAAATTACTATGAATGCGATGCGCAATATATATGATAAAATTTTTCGAGTGACTTGATAAAAGCTGAAATCTGTGACGATTATTGCAAATATGTGTGTGTGTGTGTGTCATTTTGTTTTTTCTAAAAGTTTTTTTCGCTGTGCATTCTGAATAAAAATCAGTGCGACAGAAAAAAGACACAGCTGCCATTGTTTGTATTTTTTTTACCATAACTAATTTTATTCTTATTGTCTTTTAAGAGTTTGTGCAACGAAAATGTCTTTATTTGTCAATTTCAGTTCGTTCAACCAGAAAAGATCGGTCGATATTTCGCCGGTTCTTAAGAAATCCGTTATATAAAATTTCGACATGACTAAATTGCATTTGTAATTTTTATAGATCGGGTTGAAAGAGGAAGTTTTACTCAGTTTACTTCTTATAATTACTATAGCGATATGTAAATTAGAGCTATGCCGACGAGTTTTGTTATTAATTGCGATTAATTGCCCGTTTTCAAATAGTTTCTCGAAATTCGGGGTCAAATTTTATGAAAGTATTTCTACGCCATTGAATCGGTTCATTTTGTGCTGTAAATCATTCTATAACTTTTATTTTTACTCTCTTGTTATCTTGAATTATTTCGCAAGTCTTAATTTCATTCAAATTTCATTAAGCAAACATGTAAGTGAATCATTCTAAAGATTGCCATAAAAGATATTCTAAGGTCTGATCGGCCTAAAACTATATTCAAAATATTACCTATTTTAAAATCTTTCTTTTTTTATCTACCCCGTATAATCTAATCACTGACGTACTTATAAATATTTTAATGTCTGTTTGATTACTATTTGTGTATTTAAGTAAAGAGCACTTACAGATTTTTTTATGCTATGACAGTTTTATTTTTAGTATAGTTCTGTAATGTTAAATACTGGATTAAAAAATTGATTTTTTAGAAGCGAAATAAAAGATAATAGGAATGTCTCATCAAAAATAAATGTGCTAAAGTTTGAGCAATGGAATCGGAGGACGTCTTGAGATATTACCTTGATGAAGTAAAGGATACTCAAAATGATATTAGCAATTTAGAGGAGGAGGAACATATTCCTAACGGTAAGCGCCTAAACTCTTTAATTGGTCGCAATTGAATTAAACGAAAATGATTTTCGATAAACAATAGAACATTTTATGGCTTAGTAATCCTTTTAATCATTTTATTACACACATTAATAAAGTATATATACATACAGATTATTCAGATAATTCTATTTACTTGGTTTGTTCTTTGAGTCATGTCATGTCGAATTTGTTTTGACAAAGGGGGACATCATTAAATCACATCACATAATATTAAATTAAATCGTTATTTGGATGGCATGTACTTTTGTCGATCTAAAAAAATGTCCTGACCTTTTAGAAGCCGAACAGGCCACAGATTTTCTTTTGAAAGTCGGACTAGAAAACTTGAGTCAGTTTCACCAGCAAGGTAAAGAGATTCCAGAGAATGTGCTGATCGACTCTGTAAATCAGAGGCATTTGACTGAAAAACAGACGCAAACAATCCGATCTCGAGTAGCGACATTAAATAAAACTTTACGAAACAGACAGCCCAGGAGGAAACATAGACAAGATGTGAGAGATGTCGCCTGGGGGAACGTAGAGGTAAAACTCTATTCTAAAATGGACCTTTCTGTTTTTTTAATGACCTGGATTACAGACTTCTAGTACAGGATCTCGTTCAAGAAGCGCAACTCCAGACTCTCTGGATTCTGGGGATAATCCTAACTCAAACAACGAGGATCTTACGTCAGACGAAGATCAACAGCTTTCATCCTTACCTCCATTGTAAGTAACGTTTGATAAGTTGATACAGGCTTCTCTAAAATCCAGGGTAATTCAAATTCGGAGCCCCACCATTAGCATCTCGATAACTATACGGGCATGGCTAAATTAGGGCAAAGTTTTGGTTTGGTTTGGTTTTGGTCCCAAAATTGATTTTTCCAAGAAATATTTGATTTTTCAAAGAAAATAATATAGTGAAACACCTCTGCACTATTCAGCAAGTTATCTAAAATAAAGTTAATTAGTTCCGGAGATATTCGAGAAAAACCGAAAATTGAAAATTTTGATTTTATTTTTTCTGATTTTATTTGGTATCCCAAAACTAAAAGCACATTTTCATTGGCATTTCTTCCAGTTACACAACGTTGTTTTCAGATTTGTCATGCGACGTTTTGTCTTTTGCCCACCTTCATCGAATTTATATTTTCTTAAAGGTCCCATATTAGATTTTTACACATCTAAATAAATAATTTATTTGCGATTCTAACGATGTATGGCATATTCCTCGTATCTACTATAGTTTTCGAGATCCCAATGAAGGGGTTGTTTGAATTACTCTAGATACCAGAGTCACACCAGAGTATTTGGTAAGGTTTAGGTAAATATTTTACTTCTTCACTAAAAGAGTTGTTTTTAATCTTTGACGTTCATTTTATTAGAAACCGGGCGATGTTTTTCCCTGTATTTAATAAATCTGTTTTCCTTTCTATTTTTTGATCCCTATGGTGTCCCAAAAAGTGGGGGTGTTGTAGAAAAATACGAAAAAATATGATTTCCCATTATAGAAGGTCTAGCTATATTGGCAGTGGGTATGTTTGTCATGCCTGTTTGTTCAGTGTGTTTTTGTTTTCTGTTTATATGTGGCATACTAACCAATTTATTCTTTGTGTTTAAACTGCTTTATTTTTCTAGATTTTTTTATTGCTTACAGTAGTATTTCTCGTATTTCTCTTCAAATTTGGTGTTCTGGTTATTATTTTGAGATTTTTTTTTATTTTTGCTCTCTGACTATTTTGGTTGAATAGTCAGAGAGCATCTGTATTCGCGATTTTTCTATTATATGGCATCAAATCGCATATTTTTCTTAAGTTGGCAAGAATTTCCTATAAGGTACAAATTTAATTACCCCGATTGTTCTCTATCTGAAATATGCACATTTTATTATTAATTTTTAATCAATTTCATTATCTTCCTCTCAGTGTCTTTTATTAGCACATTTATATAGAGCATTTTCACACATTGTTCTTTTACAGCGAAATGAAACGAGCTTGTGCAGTTTTGTCATCCTTTTTTTTATTTTTGCTTTATTGTATTGATTATTACTCAAGGCCGTTAAATATAAAATATGTTGTTTTTTCTTTTTAACAAACGGTACACATCTATCTCATCGATATTTCGTCCTTTTTTTGTGATAAAAAATATATTTTTAGCACCTCAGATCATTCGACTCAAGTTAACCAAAAATCTAAAATAAAATGGACTTCAAGTGAGCCTCTTCAAACGAAAAAATTCACCAAGCACGATAACAAGGGAGACATCGCTCACTTGGGCTCTGAAAATGTCGTTTTAAAAGGGTACCAACAGCTAACTGAGAATGGTTCGTTACCACGACCTCAGAGATCAAGGAGTGGTAGCGATCCTACTACAGAAGTCCATTTAAACTCACATAAACACCAGGCAAGTGATAAATGCTAGTATACATTTATTTACGACTCTAACATTTTTGGTTTATAGGAATTATTTAGAGAGCCAGAAAATTTTCATACTCAGCTTACCAGAACTAATAATATAGTCACCACTCATAATAATTGCAGTACTGTGTACATCACTCCCATAGAAGTGAATGAGGATGTCACATTAAGTTTTGAAGGTGTCATTAAACAAAACGAAAATAATAACTTTCAGTCCACTGTAAGAAATTAAAAAAAAACAATTAAAATAAATTTTTAAAATATATTTTTAGGAATGGCAGTTGGATGAAGGCGTGTGCATTGAAGAATTCAGCGATGTTGAATATCAACATCTAAAACCGCTGTTATATGTTGAAGTGGTTGCCATATTAGATCATTATCACATAAGCTATCATAAGAAAAAGGCCAGTATCAAAAACAAAGGTTCGTTATCTGGTGAAAATCGTTTCATTTTCATAAAAAGCGTTTCTAGGCGGTAACGTCTTTGGGGTTAACCTCACTTCTTTGGTGATGCGTGATTTGGCTCGTCCCACTGACAACTCCATGGTACCTCAAGTATTTCAAAGTATAGTGGAACATTTGAGTAGCAGGTGTATCAACGAAGATGGCATTCTAAGACTGACTGGTCAGAAGCAAAAATTAGAACAGCTCTGTCATGAAATCGAATTGAAGTTCTATAATAACAGGAAGCACGTTGAAAAGTTGCTTAAGGAAGCTACAGTTCACGAGCTAACGGGTGTTCTGAAGAAGCTTCTGAGAGATTTACCAGATCCGATATTCACCATGGAATTGTTTGATATGTTTTATAAAACTGGCTGTAAGAAGTTTTCATTATATCCAAGTTTACAAATATATAATTTATTATGATTTTTAGCAATACCAAATATTGAAGACAAGGTCAGGGCTCTGAATTTGCTCGTTCTAATGTTACCCATCGAGCATAGGAACACTTTTAGGCTTTTGTTGCAATTCTTTTTGAAAATAATCGAAAATGAGAGTAGGAACAGAATGGGGTTAAGGAATGTCGCGATGATCACGGCGCCATCTTTCTTTCCTCCTAAACTACTTCTGCCCAAGTAATTTTATTAATTTTTTAATTGTTTTATTTCATTCAGTGTTCAAAGATTATATTAGTGGCGTTTTCAGGGATAATCGTAAACACTTCGATCAGAAAGTAACCAATGAGGAATTAGCAAAACAAATCAACGGTGCGGCTGTGTGTTGCTGTATTATGGAGACTTTGTTAAAGACAGGGGATAAACTATGGACAGTGCCCAATTATCTGGTCTTTCAAGCCAGAGAAGCTCAAAAGAAAGCTCAGGTTAAAAAGGATATGGGAAAAGACAAAAAACTTGTGAGTCTTTTTTATTCAATATTTGGTTTTACTATTTAATGTTTTATTAATCTTTGTAGCTAGACCAGAAGTAATATATCGTCAGTGAAACTTGTTAACCTGCTAACTTTTACTTTAATTAAATAATACGTTTAATACATAATTTTTACGTTAAATTTTCAACAAAATTTTATTGAGATTGAGTTTCGTTATTCCCCAACAAATATTATTATCTCTTGATCATATTAACGCGTGAATATACTTGCTATTTGCTACATGTGTACATATTTTTTATACGGTTTCTTTTCTCTGGTATAAAATCAGGAATAGAGTTTAACACATTTCACCGACGATATTAGTTTTTTCAGTAATGTTGTCTGCTTCACAATAAATCAAAGTAAAGGAAGAAATATCAGAAATACTAATTTTTTACTCTTGGCTTTTACTTTGGCTGCTCTACGCACATAACCCCGTATAAAAGGTTCCTGTATGGTGGGGGTACTTAACAGGGTGAAAAGTTCTTCCCTTTATACGGTATTCTGTCGCGCTTGAGTTTACTGACATTATGGAATTTATTCCATAATCTCCGCTTGGGCTCCCGTACTACTAGTTTTGTTTGAGATATTTATTATTTTGATTTACAACCAAGCATGTGGATGTTTTATGTTAAACAGTAGCGACCTTCAATAATGAGATTTATTTTTTGTTGTAACTTTGTGTGCGGAGTTTTTTTAATGAAGATTATCATTATTAAAACGTATTCTAATTTTTAGCGATCTGCTAAGACCAAATTGGTGAGAAGTAGTACTCAGTATGAGCCAGGTGCTATGAACGTGCCTAGAATGAAGAAGGACTTTTTATTTAATATTTAGACTTAGATTATTATTAACTCATTCCTTACTATAATAAGAACCACATAGGCGTACTTAAAAAAGATTTTTGAGCAATTTTAATAATTAAAGGCGACAATTATTTATCCGCGTGATTATAATTATAATTTGTCTTAAATTTTAAGTGAAAAAAAATGTGTTTGAAATGTGAAATTTTTTAAAGCAGTGTGGTTCCTAAATACTGATTCAGAACAGTGGGAAAGATTACTCAAAAATATTCAACCAAATACCCTTAAGTATCAGGAACAAATAGTATTAAATTTAGTCTGTAATGTCTTAACTGTTGCTCATCAATAACTTTTACATTGTGATCGTAACTTTATTAATATTTAATACTTATTAAAAATAGTTTTTATGTATTGTGCCAAAATAAAGACATTTTAAATGACAAAAAATCTGTATTTATTTGAACAGTAAAATCACAAAGTGTAGCCTAACTTTTTAACCCAACCCAGTCCGTCGACAGTTCCATTTAAAGGCGTATATTCTAACCCAATCCAATCATTGTATCCTATATTTTTGATCGCGCCAAGAACGTACTTGTAGTTTATTTCTCCAGGTGTGTCAGGTTCATTTCTATTAGGCGCCTGAGCGATTTGAATGTGCCCTATAAGGGATTTTAGCTCTTCAAGAGTGTGTGTTATATCTCCTCTTATCAGCTGTAGATGAAAAATGTCTAATTGAAGCTTTAAGTTAGGACTGTTCACACTTTTTAATACATTCACAGCTTTTTCATAAGAGTTGAGGTAATATTTAGGTACAGAATAATTATTGATTGGCTCTATGACCCCTAGTAGGTTTTCTTTTTCTAGTATTTTTGAAGCAAACTTAAGATTTTCTATGTAGGTTTTATCATGGTCATCTGTTACTTGACCTTCCACGCGTCCTGACATTATATGAATCCTTAAAAAAAGTTTATATATTCTCTCTGCTTATACATATTAAATAACTTACTTTCTTGCTCCTAGAGCTTTAGCATATTCCACTGTGGTGTTAAGTGATTGTTTAAATTCATTTTGTTTACCTGGTAGAGCTGCATATCCTAATTCTCCCTTAGTAACATCACCTATACAAAACACTTTTTATTTAGTATGAAGTTAGAAGTAATGCCTTACCTGTGAATATATTTATAAGAATTTGCTCAATGCCAGCAGCATTCTTAGCTTTGACCACTTGTTCTTTCGAAAAACCAAAAGGAAACCCCGATTCAACGGCGCTAAATCCGGCTTGTTTGGCGGCCGCGTATCTGTCCAAGAAGGGCGTTTCTTTAAAAAGGAACGCTAAATTTGCGCAAAATTTCGACATTTCTTGGGATAATCTTGCTTGAGGTAATACAAAGACACATAACCTTAAAACAAGCAAATCTCAGTACTGTATTAAGCAATTTTAGAGTTTTCTTAAAAGATAAGAAGATATCTAATAGCGAAAACAAAAAATATTGTTTTAAGTAAATAATGTTTCTTACAGGATAAATGAGTTAGCATGTTTAAATATGATGTTCATTTTGAACAAATATAAATGACCTTAAAGAAAAGCTTGTTTAATATAGTAATTTTATTTAAGAAAATTATGTTATATCTTGCAGATTTTTAAAAGCTACTTAAACCGCGAATATGCAGCGTAGACATCTAACGAGTTTAAATTATATTAACGTTCATTGATAAAGCAGTGATCTGTATTTTTTCTGTTCATAGATATACAAAGTTTATATATAAGTATTCTCCCGCTAGATGTCACTGTTTATTCCTAAAGTTCTTAAGCAATATACTGGACAAGAAATAATTCGGAATTGCTTGGCATTGTAATTTATTTTTTTTATATATTTTTCTTTAGCTGACCTTAAATATCGTGGGGATATGAGATTTTTTTTTATTTAAAAAAAAAATATAATTAAATTTAGACGATTTGGGTGTCATTGTATTTATTTCTTAAGGGAATTTGTACTTAGAAAGGGTGGTATATTAGGAGTAGCGTTTATAAATAAAAGTCTTGGAGGGCATTAGGTAGAGGGTTTTTAATAAAATTGCGGAAAAAAATATAACTTTATTGTCATTTAATTACACTATATACAAGCTAAGTTATTTACAAAAACTAAAAAAAATATTAAGTTACCACATTTGTACCACTTTTGTTGGCTACGTTGCCGTGCGTTGCGAATAATTTTTTTTTTCAAAGTGCAGCGATTTGTCTGGTTGTCGTTAAGTAAGTTAGGAGCTCGCCAAAAGGAAAGAAAGATGCATAAGTTAGATAGATTTATTATTGTAATTCTTAAAATTTATTTCTTTGGTGTGTATATTAAAAAAAATATACGTTCGTACGTTCCAGTTTTGTAGTAAAAACTATAAGCATGTTATATACAAATTTTTCACATACAGCAACTAAAAACGCTCCGTCCGGATTGGCTCTGATTCTAAATAAATTATCACCGATTCGTAATGCGTATGTAGTAATGTGTTTAATCCTTTGGCGCTTTTAGTTAGTGTATTATAAATGATCCACTTGTGATGTATATAACAGTGGACGGTTATCAAATGAGAATCTAATAAGTAAACATAATGTTCAATAAGTCGGACCAGCCGAATTTGAAAGCACTTGTCATACACACCACGCGTAGTTTTAGGTACGTAAAGTCAAAAATTGAACACATCGGTTGTATTTAATCCCTATTAGAAATACATATAAATTTGTTTCGAACAGTTAGCGAGTGCGAGATACTCAAAAGGCACTGATCTGTTAGCATATCACAACGTGCGATGCGTCGTTCTCAGATATATTCGTTTTACGACAGCATCGCAGACGGAATGTAAAAGGTATATGGACGCTACTTGAGCTCGTGCATGTTTTTGCTCAGAAGCAAGTTATTGTGGGGACCCGACAAGTGCCTGATCAGCTCCGGCAGCGATTCGAACGACAAAGGACAGAAACAGCAATTGAAGCGTCCAGAGCTGCCGTCGCTCGAGGAAATCACGTTCCGATGCACGGAACACAAGTGTTTTAGTAAGTGAGCTTTCTGTTTGAACATAGCGACGCATAGTCTACACGCGAACGGCTTTTCCCCCGTGTGCACTCGCAGGTGAGTCTTCAAATTCCACGACATCCCGAACTGCTTGCCACAGTACTCACAACGATACTCACGAACTTGGACGGCGGGCAAGGGCGCTTTACTGCCCGTCGCCTGCTGGGATGTCTCTGGTCCATCTTCCCCTCCCGCAAAGCTGGGCGGGGGTTCCCGAGACTCGTCGCCTCCCGAAGGAGGGTTCACTTGGGTCTGACACAGCGACCAGGGACCCCAAGTGTGCTCGAAGGCTGGGTAAGTCTCCGAAACGAGCCCCTGGTCCGCACTGGGAGGCCGGTACTTCACTAACACGTTATCGGGAGCCGAAGAGGTGTCTGGGTGAGTGCCAGGCGTCGGCGTGTGAGTCCTGTCTACGAGGAATGGCGGCGCCGATAGGGATAAGGGATGGTGAGCTGCTAGTAGCGGCGGCAAATTTTTATAGCGATGAGTGTGGTGGCTAGAGTCGTCTATGTACGATGGCGAGAAGGGTACAAATGGTGGGTTTTGGGCTGGCGAATTGTGGAAACCTGGACGTCGTTTTCGATGGGGCGTCACCACGTAGTTGTCCGGACTCTGGACTAGAGTGATCAGCTTGGAGTCAGGTATGGGAGGTTTTATTTGGGAGTAATCCTCTTGGTGCTTCAGGTCGATAGGCTCCATGTAAACGTGCTTGCGTTTCATTCGATGGTGGTGGAACTGGGACAGCTCGTGGACTTTAGGCGCGATCTTCACCGACGTCTGTCCGATTTTTAGGGCGTCCGAGTTTTTTTGTTCCCCTCTCTGAAATTAATGGAATACGGAACTGTATATATATCTTGAAATATTTCATATTTGCGAGTTACCTCTGAATTGGTGTCTTGATCTGGCGCCGGCTCGTTGATGTCCGAATTTTTCGTGGTTATCGACAAATTGACAGGATTGGGAGAGCCGTGGTTCTGGTCCTGCGAAGAGGCGTCTTCGTTCGGATCGTCCTCGTCGTCTTTGATCTCTCCCTCTTCCTTTTCCTCATCATCGGTCTCTCTTTTGATCGCCACAGGGTCACCCGTTTCGTTTTCTCTCTCCCAGCTGCCTCCGCCGTCATCAGACTGACTTTTGGCCTCTTCAGAACTCGAAGACTGCCAAACGTCCGACTGGATTTGGAACAGCTCGAAAAGCTCTTGGATGCTCTCAAGTTCACTAGACTGAAAACGTAAAACTTAACTTTTTTTGACGGAAAAGAAGGTGTTTCTTACTTTGATACAGGCCTGTCCATTGTACAGGAAGTCCAGCAGGTGTCTGAGATGGCAACTTTTGATACCCGGCAGAAGTACTTGTGTCGGATTGTTGGCATGAATGCTCTCCCCTAATATTCTCCTGACCAAAGGACTCGCCGTGGCTATGACGAGCTTGTGGGCGCTTAATGTTGTCTTGTCATCGCATACAAACGTCATGTCAGCATAGTTCTCTGACGTGAAGCAAGTCTTGATCTCGTCCACTATAGTAGCATGATGTTTGCCGTAGTGCAATGTCAAGAGCCCGTGCGAATCTTGTTCCTCTGAGTACATGGCGATTTTCGTTGTAGGACTACCTGAAATGTTCAACAACTTAAAAATTACAATCATTCATTTAATTTTCTTTAAACTGATATCAAAATATGTGATACTTTTTCTAAATACATTTGATTTGAATATCGCCCTTTAATTGTTAATTATCTACCAATTTAATTACGTATGCAGGATGTCCCAGAAATAACCACCTTTTTCTCCACCCCTTAAAAAAGTTCGGTTCTCTTCCAAAAAAAATATTTTTTGCTAAACCGCTGGATCTGTTCTGGATTTTCTTTCTTGTAAATTTAATCTAATACCTATGTTGCCATATTATTAAGAAATTATGTTTTTTAACTAAAAACTAAAAAAAATTCCAAAATTTTTTTAAAAAAATCCGATTTTTCAATTTTTTTTTTTCGTGAAGAAAACCTCAGAGGCGTGTTTCTGGGGTTGAACTATACTACCAGTTAAAACACTTGCACTCATTTCTGGGACACCCTGTATATTTGCGATAAAAAATACCCTAAAACATGTTTCGACGTTTGAAAAAGAACTTGAAGGCTAACAATAAAGAGCGGGACAAGGAAACAAAAATCAATAGCATAAAATGAATTATCAATTTTCTGATTGCATTCGAAACGTTCCAAATAAATTTCGTTTGATCGATTGGACGCGAAGAGAATGAAAAATAGCTCCGATTAAATATCAAATTTGCGTTTATTTCGATATTTCCACAGGTTTCTCGGCAAAGAGAAAAAAATAACAAAAAGAAAATAGTGACCCAGTTCGCCGTTAATACATTCTAGTTTTTCTAACTGTTGTGTAAAATCTAATCTATGTTTTTACTTTTATTTCGAAATGTGCAGTGAGATGCCAAACCTGAATTTAGTTCACATAAAAATGGGTTTATAATATTTTGACATACTTATCACAATATATTCTAAGGAAGATGCATAACGTACCTCAAAAAATACAATTTAAATATAAAAAAAATTATCAAGATAGTCTTAATACAATATATTTGAAGGTTAATCAATATCGTTTAAACATTTTTTCCATATATGGGGTATCCCCAAACAATTTTATATTGTACATATTGACAGGTATTCTCAAATAAACTATCATAATTCCTATATCTGTATGAAAAAGCTCTCTATATTGCATTATATTTTATAAACGATTTTTAATAGGTAGTTATGCGTGTCAGTTTTACAATTTCATTATATTACAGTAATTTTTTTCTCAATTCGAGCTTTCAGCGAGATGTGAAGATTTTAAAAGAAAATTTAAGGCATTAGGAAATACTGTTACGTCACGTTTCACTGTCCTCATTTTCTCATTCATCTTCCGTTTGCCTAGCGCTATTTATTAATACAAGATCGTGCTGCGAGCTGCCTTTACAGATATTTAGATCAACATACAGAGTGTGTCTAAAAAGCTAATCATCGCCATCTTTAGTGTCCAAAAAGAAAATTAAGCCAGACTCTTTATATGTGATGATTCTATTAGATACATTGTCTTATTTTTAATTCTAAATTTGATTTTAAGGTGTACTGTTTTCCAAATCAAACACTACCGTGACGCTGTTTTTTTTTCAATCGTATGGTATATTAATCTTAACGAGCATTTCCAGATGTTTGTCGTGTGTAAAACCAATCACAGATACTCTATTGTTTATGGAAAACGTCAGTCGCTGGTAAATTCTATTCAATAAATATTACATAATTTCTGTAGTTTTTCACTTTGTTTTATTGTACAATGATACGCGTTCCTTTTTTTCATTCTGACCTTGGCGTTGTTTAAACAAATTCGTTTTAAACCGCTCATATGCAAAAACTAATTGTATATCAAATTACTTTTCTAGTTAACTTGGAATGCGAATCTCTTGAAAATCTGCTGTTTTCTTGTCGTCGGGGAATCATAATTATGTCAGAGAGTGTACACTTAAATATTTTTTTAATGCACAGCAAAATGAAAATGACTTTCGTTTTGGTTTAGGGATTTTCTGAAGTCTTAAATTGTTCTAATAAATATCAGTCATTTGCTTGTGCTAAACAGAACGAACTATTATGTCACCGTTTAAGTTTGTCGAAAGTAAAACAGTTCTGTATTTCCTAAAAAGTAAAAGTGCTTTGGTAGAAGGTCGTAGCTACATTTGAATTTGTGTGTTAAACAGAAAGCTAGATAGATATATTTCTTTTTTTCCGCGGCTTAGCTAAAAAGTAAAAGTGTCTTAAATCGGAATTTATAACAATATTAATGTTTCCTAAATAGAGCAGCCGTAGTTGAAAAAGGAATAGTATATAAGGTTACCAAAGGCGAAGAATAGCGGCAGGTTTTGTAATTTTTTAAATTAGCGGCGAAAATAAAAGTTAAAATGAAAATACACGCCGTGTCGTAACGTTAATTATATAAAAAATACAATTATTGAATTAGCAGAAAGAATTAATGTTGCAAAATTAGTTCAAAAAAGTAAAAGTAGAACGAAGCTCTTGCAAGTGAGTGCGAAGCCTTGGTTCAATACCAGTGGCTCTCTTTTCCACTTTTGAACCACCAAACAACATATTATTACTCTAATAAAAGTTGTAGTAATTCTAAAGGGGTTGATATTTTATTTGGAAAAAGAAAAAGTAAAATGCAACAGGTATTAGCCGATACAGTGGGCAGCAATACATAAAAGTAGGCCAAAAATTATTTCAGATAATTTAGATAATCGGATAAAAAATTATGTTAGATAGAACAAGATATAAAATATAGTAATATTTTACAATATTCTCTATATCTATATTAGGACAAATAGATGATATTTCCAAGATAAGAAAATAGTGAAATTAGTACTGATATTAAAAGAATTTTACAGTTTTTCACTTGATAACGGTCAGAGATACGGACCGAAACGTTGTGTAAGTTAAAAAAAAATGATAATATTAGTCCGAAATTCTTTTAATATTAATACTGATTCATTGTCTACCACATTCAAAGTGAAATTAGTAGATATGACTTGACTGGAAAGCAAAGGAAGAGTGAGAGGAAGAGAAATAGTAAAATTAGCTAGAGAAGGCGGGGAAACATAAAGTAAATTATGGGGAATGGTTATTAAGAAAAAAGAAAAACTGCCGAGGTTATAATTACTTGTTGGGATGAAGGGTTTGTTAATGCAGTTAGTGATTTATGAGGAATTGTTAATTAGGTAATGGCCCATAAAGGACGAAGAGGATGTGAAAAAGGTGACAAAGGATTTGTTAATATGGCAATTATGAAAAAATATCAATGAACAATACGATTATGGCATAGCAGAGAAAGAAAAAAAATGGCGGTAACAGAGTTTAGTGGATTGTATGAAACTATCAATAAGCAAAGAGGCTGAGGGTAGACTTAACGGTGAGGTAAAATAATGAGACGCTGTGGAAGAGTGAGGGGGTGGATTACGAGGGATTATTGGTAAAAAAGTGGCTAAGGGTAGTCTTGGTGAAGGTGAAAAGATGTCAGAGGAAATATTGATGAAAAAGTGAAACTGCGAGAATATTTGGTGCAATTATCAGAAAAAGGCGAGAGAAGAAGTAGCAGCAGCGGTGCGCGGTTTCTATAGTGTCCGTGACGCAACTTGTAGAAACGCGAGTCGGGTTACGTAAGAGCACGAGGCGCGCCAAGGCGTGCGCGAGCGGGATTCGCAGCAGGAACAGGTGGTCGGCGCGACACTTACCCGATCAAATGCTAATCCAGGAGGCGAGCTCGGTCCAGGGAGCAGCCGCAGCCACTGGGAACACCACCGGAACAGTCCCGAGAGCAACACCGAGCCATGCTCGCACCACGAACGCACTGCACAGAGCCGCTGCGGTTGGCTGGCTGAGTCCTTCGCGCGACCAATGAAAGTAAAAGTGAGGCTGAGCGGCGCTCGTTGAGTATGTCGAGTCCTGTGGCGCGCACCCTCGACTCGACTGGACCGGACTGGCTCCTTCTCAATTTCTCCCTTTTCTTCCTCCCACTCTGGTTCTTTCTCTGCGAGGCCCAAGGTCGCGGCTCACTGCCCGTGCGATCCGCGTTTTCATGCTCTGCCGACGGCGGATGTGCGACAGAGAGATCTATTTCGGAGAGTTTGAACCGCGAACCGAGTCCGCGCTGGGGTATTTTCGCATTGGCGCGCTCGCTATTCATTTGCTTTCACCAAGCCGGCCAAGGAGACTCGTCTCGGGGCCCGGCGTGGGGCTCGCGCCCGGACTTTCACAACGAACCGAGCCTAGGAGAAGGGGGGCCGCGGGCCGCTCGCCGCTCGCGCTGTTGTATAATACGATGAAATAACAATCCCGCAATCCGGCGCCGCGATCGCAGACCTTTTATTCGGCTCTTCTTTGCCCGAGTCACCTCGTCCCCTTCATCCTCTCGATTAAACCATAAGGCGCCGCCTATACTCGATCATAATTCGCACGAAATTTTTCTCTCGTATCAAATTCTAACAACTAATAATTATTACCAATTACGAATTCATAAGACAAAACCGGGAACTACTACATACACAGGGTGTTCCTTAATGACATGCTAATATTTAAGGAGGTGATTCTTGGACTCATTCTAAGAAAAACACTTCATATGAATATATGTCATAAACATTTTAACTTTTAGATACAGGGTGGTAAAATTTTCTAATATTTTTTTTTCAAATATCTCTGATGGTATATATTTATGATACACGACTTACATGCCTCAAAATGGTTTATTTTGATATACAAAAAAATTGTTTCATTTCTTAATTTTCTTCCAGCCGATGCAGAAATGATTTCCACACAACAGTCACCGCATCATATTTTCAGCGATTTGACCCTGAAATAAAGTGACTTTAATTTTTTAAGCAAAAACTATGCGCCGGACGAAAAAAATCAAGAGACAAGAAATTTTAAAAAGAGAAGTCAGTGGTGTACCACCTTTTTCTCCAAAAATATACAATGTAAAACCCGTATGGACGGCACTGGTTGAAATAAATAAAATTCTCTGTACACCAAAAAAGGTATTTTGATGCATGGAAGACGTGTATTAAGTTTCATAAAGATATCTTTAATACAATCAGAGTTATTATGAAAAAAAAAATTAGAAAAATTTACCACAGTCAGAAATTAAGATGTGTAGGACATTCATATGAAGTTTTTCTCTTAAAATAGGTTCAAGAATCATGCCCTTAAATATTAGCATGTCATTATTTCACCCATAAGAGTGTCTCTGGGTTGTATATTCATGTTTTATTGTCGGAGACAAATGCAGACCATTTCTTCCTGTCTTGTGCCAATGGTTTTGCTCTTGTCCTCATATTAAATAATTGTAACAACTAATATTGAATAAAATTGAGCACTACTATACAGGGTGTCCCAGAAATAAGTGCAAGTATTTTAAGGAGTGGTAGATCTCGATAAAAGAAACATATTTTCTCTTTATCGTTTTTCAAATAAGTCCAAAATAACGAAGTTATTTTACATTGAAAATTTCCAAAAAAAAAGATTTTTTGCTAAAATTTTGAGCACCACTGGATCTTTTCTGGATTTTCTTTCTTGTAAATTTAATCTACTACCTATGTTGCCATATTATCAAGAAATTATTTTTTTTAAATAAAAACTAAAAAAATTTCCAAAAAAAATTTCAAAAAATTCCGAATTTCCAAAAAAAATTTTTTCGCGAAAATAACCTCATAGGCGTGTTTCTGGGGTTGAATTATACTACCAGTTAAAATACTTGCACTTATTTCTGGGACACCCTGTATATGTATATATAAAATCGAAAAATCACATTGTACCTATAAGAGGGTTGTATATTCTAATTATGATTAAGAATTTATAAGAGAAAATTGGGAAGTACTACATATACATACTACATATACAGGGTGAGTCTTAAATAAGTGTAAGTGTTTTTAGGGGTAATATATTTCGACTCCAGAAACGGTCTATGAGGTTCTTTTCGCAATTTTTTTTTGAAAATTTGGAATTTTTGAAAAAAATTGAATTGATTTTTAATTTAAAAACATAATATCTTCATTATATGGCAACGTAGATAGTAGATTAAATTTACAAGAAAGAAACCCACAAGATACAGTTCTTTGTAGAGATATAGATTTCAAAATTTAACCAAATATTGTTTTTTTCTTAATTTTTCCAAGTAAATATCTCGATTATAATATCTATTATCTAAATCTCGAAAAATCCCATTGTACCCATAAGGGTGTTTGGGTTGTATATTATTCATGTTTTATGATCATAGACAAATGCAGACCATTTCTTCCTGTTTTGGGGCAGTTGTTTTGCTCTTATCCACGTACTTCGATGTTTCTATTGGTCTTTTTCTATTTCTATTACCATGAGTCCTCGCTTTCTATAATTTCTTTACTGGAATGTCGTTGTTCATCCTTTGTAAGTATCCCCAACAACTCAATTGTCGTTGTTTTAGAAATTCTTGTAATTATAGTCCAATTCTCTTAGTCCATTATTTCTTATTTTGTCTTTTCGTGTCACACCCTGGCCCTTTTAAGGTATTTCATTTCAATCGCTTGTATCTTACTACTTTGACGCTGATTTAGTATCCAAGATTTGTATCCATAAGTATTGGTCTGTATATTATTTTTAAAACTTTTATCTTGGTTTTACTTGATATTTCCTTTTTGTTTATAAACCCCTTATTCATTGCATAGTCATAGTATATATTATTAGCTTTTTGCATCCTGATATTTATTTCCACACACTGCACCACCTTACCAGCACACCCTATATCTCAAAGACTAAGGCCTTGCGCACACATATTTATCTAGACTTCTAAATGCGTACCTGAAGACTTCATGTCACGAATCACTCTCTATGTTAGTTTTATTAGGATATTATTTTTTATTACGATTAGGAAGATTTTTTAAAAGCTGATTTTTTTGGCTAACCTTACTAGACTATTGTCCCAGTACAGCTTTAAGATATAAAGGGCATCTAATCACATACAATTTCTATGATGTACAAAAGCACATTTCTGTCTTTATGGTGCTTTTAAAAAATATTTAATTATTACTTTGTACTTTTTTTTGTTATTTGCTTTTTAGGAAATCCGTATTTAAATTTATTTTATTAAAAGATATGATTTTCTTCGTGAATTAATTTTTTACACAACGAAAAGTAGCGTAAAATTACGACCGAATATCATTTCAATTCAGGAAACTTATTTTCTCCGCTTATAAAGGAATTTATATCAAAACTAAAATGGTTTCTATTGTTAAGTTAAATTAGTTAATGATTTCGACCTCTTTTAATGATAATTATTAATAAAATGGTGAATTTAACTGACTTAACTGTTACTTCATGGATATTCATTCCGAAAATGCTTCACCAGAACTATTCGTAAAATTTCATTCAAAACATTTTATCAAGTATTTTTGTTTTTTTATGTATTTTTTAAAATATATCCAATAATAGTGAATGACATATCCGGTTAATTGTGATATAGCAAATAATAATATAAGTAGTTTTTTTAAATGGGCTATCTAGTAAGTAATTCCAATTTTCTTGTTGGTCTTTTAAGAGAAATAGACCTCCGATTTAGATTACTAAGAAAGGGAAAGTACCTATATTTTACCACTTTCTCTATAACGTAACGTCTGTGTCTGGATCGCAAGTAATTTACAATATCAGCTTCAAAATCGCTTGTTAATAATTACCAACGATTACATAACATTTTTACAGAAACCCACGTACAAATTCAGCGGAAAGACAAATAAAACAATCAGAAGTTTTCAATTCATTTATAAAATATTTTTAAAACGTTTTTATTCTACACTGAATTGCACGAAAAACGGACACCTGAAAATTGTCATTTGTTTTGAAGCTCAGTATATTTTGTTCAAGTGGGCCGATTTTTATATTTTTTTAAGCAATATGCAGCTAAATTATTTGACTTTTCAGCCTCCTTTTAAATTAAAAATTAAAGTCATCGTCTGTCTGTTAAACGAGGAAAAACAACAATGTTGTTATTTTGGCGAAAGTTGGAAACACACTGTGGAGTGGTTTAATAAAGTAAGACATTTAAAAACCACTTTATCATCAAGGTGCATCTTTTCTCGATTGTTTGTTTTTTGACTCATCTCAATATGTTTATTTTTATTGCAGATATTTACATTTTATACTTTGTTTCACATATAATTGTGAAACATATCGACTATTTGTTGCTTTTATTGAACAAAGTAGAGATCAACTTCTATACTTAAAACCGTCTCTGCTAGAGTACATAACTGTCAACAAGAAATGATAGTAAGTATGCCTTTTACGTATAAGAAACAAAAAACAAACTATCGAGAACAGATGCACCTTGGTAAGTCTTTTTAAATTGTTTAGTTTGTTAAATTACGAGTATAGTTTAGAGTGTTTTAAACTTTCGCCCAAGTAACAAAGTTTTTTTTCCTTGTATATTAGTCAGATGGGGATTTATATAGGCTAAAAAGTCTAAAATAATGTAGCTACACATTGCTTAAAAAATCATGAATATCGGCCCACTAGAACAGAATAATTATATTAAGGTGTCTGTCTGTATTTAAGTCATATGACATTTGAACCTTAAATCTGATTGAATTATTATATTGAAAATATTCGCAAATCTGTTTTTGCAAATCTGACTCTCGTAGAAAATAATGGCGATAAAACATTTTCTTTATTATCGTGAAACAATTTTCCTTTAAAATAAAAGTTAGAGTGATTAAGAAAGTAAGTGTTGAAGTTTATTGGACAATAAAACAGTAAGTAGGTACTTCTGATAGCTGATATCGAAAGTGCAATTTCTGACTAATAATTCGAACATAGCACAGATAAAAAGAATTAAACATCGGTGACAGCACTAAAAAACTATTCAATGAATAGATTGTTGGTGTCTTACAAGGCGATACCTGATTAAAATTCATTGTAAAATGTAGCTACATATTAAGTAAGGTTCTTGCGATGATTAAAAAGTAAAACATGTACGTAACCGTCGTTATTATGAATACATAATTATCGCCGATAGATTTATTTATTATTTTAATTAAAAATGTTCCTTTGCAGCGTGTATACAGGAAATTTTCT